GGGATGTGGCCAATTCCATATATTTTTTGGTGGATGCTGGTCCAAGGAAAGAAGGAGAATTGTAGCAAATAGGAGGTTTCACCAGTCATCTACCGCTTTGGCCACCTACTATTAAAGAACTCCTCCCTCTTCCTCAATACGGGCCATCTCAGTAATGATGACTCATTATTCAGAGAGTTGTTTCATTTTCCCTGTCCCTGACACTTTGAATGAAGTGAATAGATAGTGTTTGTGGTAGGGCCAGTTCCACCCTGATTTGTTTGTCTGGAGCTGACACATAGCTTCATTTTCTGGTGGCAACTTTGGCACCACAGAGAGCTTACCATTTGGGTGATAGTCATTTATAGGGTAACAGGAAATACACAAGTCATCATCTTAAAAATAAAGTCAATCAGGATGGCAAAAGACTAAGAGTTTCAAATCTAGAGAGCAAAGGAGAAGAAACGTTCACATACCAAGTGTTAGTGTCCTTTATATATCAAGGAAAAATCCACAGGAAAAAGAAAAACACATTATTATCACGAAAACATGTCTCTTCTGACCAGCATCTCTTCTACATCCTTCCTGATGCCGGAAACCCATTGTTCTTTTGAGAAGCCACTCTTCCCCATAATCCTCAGACTTCAAGTTTATGTGAAATTTATCCAACCTGCAATTCAGGAATGTGCCTTGATTCACTTAAGTAAGTCAGTAAAACCCATCCCCGTAGCCACAGCGGTTGGCTAGGAATAGGGATTCTGAACTAAGTTAGTCAAATCCAAAAGAACACAGAGATTTTTTTCAGTGGCGACACAGCCCCTCTCCTGCCTGAAGGAAATGAACAAGGATTCCTGTAACACGGGGAGGCACCTGGGACTCTCACAGGGTGGGTGGGGTGGGGTGGGGGCAGGGTCAGAAAGAGAAGAACAGGGCACCTGTGGGATATCACAGGGCTGCCGCATCCGGCCGGGCCTGGAGCCGGAGCCACCCCTGGACCCTTCCGTCCTGGACCCAGAAGGTTCATTTACTCAAGCTTCTTGGAGTTAGGTTTGCTTGCTTGTTAAATTGCTTGTTTGTTTTCCTCCTTGAAATGACCAAGTATTCTGAGAGATACAGTCTTGTCTCTGCGGAGATACAGGGTCTGTTAAAAGTGACAGCCCCCGACTGACATGGGGGATTGGCTGAACTGAAAATGCAGGAGGGACTTGGGAGAGTACCTTGTAACATGCAGCTGGTTTTTAAACTTTGCTGTGCGTGGGAATTCCTGAAGGTCTGTTAAAACACAGATCGCCTGCTCCACCTTTAGAAGGGGGAGGAGCGCTTGGAATTTGCATTTCTAGCAACTTCCCAGGTGCTGCTCATGCTGTCCTCTGGGCACATCACTGCCCTTGGTTGAACTGAGTTCTGTGATATGATCGGTGGGTGCTAAGGCCCTGTGGCAAATGCTAAGTCTGCAACATTAAAGGATTTGGTAGGCAGGACCCTGAATATTGGCATATAATAGGTACTTCTTGGGTCTGTCAGCAAGGTCCTTTAAGAAAGAGTTCAGGCTACTTGGAAATGGGCTCATCTGAAACCAGGAAAGGAAAAAGAAAAAGCTTTGCTAAGAAAAGCCCTTCCAACCTGTCGACTGTCACCAGGAACCTGGAGTCTAGAGGGGCTATAAATACAGACATTTCTACTCCAAGATCAAGGTAGGGTGAGCAGGGGCAGGGAGGTGAGAGACTTCACAGGAGAAAAACCTGGGGTCTAACCGTGGCCCTAACTCCCCCTTCCCACACTATGCTATGAAATATTTGTCTTCCTTCCTTAAAGTGGACAATCAGCTCTTTGCGCAGCCTCAGGGAGGACGTGGCTTTGCGTTGGGCATCAGATGTTTGTCACTCCTACATGCTGCCCCACCTCCACAGGGGCCATGATGGAGGCAGAGGTCTCTCACCAGAGGAAGAGGAGGTAGTGGCTGTCGTCGGGGTGCCTGCAGTATGGAGGCCTGTGCCAGGAAGCACACATTCCCAACCCCCATCAAAATGCAAGCTACATGATTGGACAAGCTCTGTGCTTCTGGTTGTCTAGCTCACAGAACTGATCAAAAGCGGAGTTCAGAAACCTACTATTATTAGAAGAGTGTTGCATTGCCAAAGAAACCGCAAGATCAGCCCCAAATGGCTGTCAATTGCTCAACACCCAGGATAAACCCCAGTCTCCTAAGTCACCTGGACAGGACGCAGGCAGCCCCCAGAAAAGAGGGCTCTTCCCCAGCACATGCATATGTCCACAGAGGACATTCCCGAAGCAGGTCACCAGGAGGCTGATCAAGTCTCAGTCACACTGCAGACTCTGAGAGGCCCTACACACAGGTTAACAATGAGACCCCCATCTTCCCCTTTTCCTCTCAGTGCTATTTGGTCTATTACTCTGTTCACAACACTTGTATTTAGAGAGAGTTGAGCTGGTTGAGCTTCTCATTTGGCTTTGGCTTGCTAGACCTTGAGAAACTGTTCAGTGTAAATGAGCAGGTTTTGTTGGTCCCACAATGCTGGAAGCCAGCAGGGAAGGAACGGGGACAGCTTCGCTGCTTCCTTGGAGACAAAGGCTTTTCCTTTCGTTCTCCTGATGGTGCCTTTTCACGTATCACAGGTGCGGGGGGTAATGGTGTTAGGGGAATGTGGCCCTCATACTAGAAGGGGATTATAAAATGTTGCCTGGGAAGAGAGCGCACGTGCGCGTGCATGTATGTGTGAGAGCGAGGGAGAGGGAGAAGCCTTGGAAAAAAAGACATTATATAAAAGCTACTGTGGCACACAGAGAATGAATGTTATGGATGGCCAAGCTGAGCTCTGTCTTCTCTCTGTCAACTCAAAGTCCAACCAGAAAACGATTCTAATGACTAGGCTATCACCCGTCAGAGGCAGGGTAAAGGAGGATAAAGCGAGACCAGAGAGGTATATGATACATGCTCACTGAAAAATAAATCAAATTTAAAAAGTGGAGAGACTAAAAAGGAAAAGTCCCCATTCCTTAACGAAATGTATGTTAACCCTGTTTCCTCTAAGAAACCAGTTTGCTATTTGATATGTAGCTTTCCAAATATTTGCCCTTGCGTATATATGTATTTATGTGGTTTTAAAAGTAATAGCATTTTAGGATGAATTATTTAATATAGTTCTGTAGCACACATGTAAAGTATGTACGAATATACTAGACGTAAACAGATACATCTTTTGCACATAACATTATGGACACTTCCCAGAGGTATAGATGCGTTTATCCTTTTTACTGACTGCAGGGTATTCCATTGGGGGCATCTCAATCCTCTACTGCTTTCGTCCTTAACTGATGGTTGTTTCCCTTCGTTTGCTGTTTACAAACCATGTTGCAAAGAATACCCTTGTGCCTGCACAGGGTGGGGCAAAAATAGGTTTATAGTTGTGAGTACGTGAAACACAGCTTATTCTTGTATTATTAGTTATTAATTATTATATTATTCTCCAGATGAACAACTGTAAACCTACTTTTGCCCCACGCAGTATATTCCTGTCCTTTGGTAGTGTTGCTACAAAATAGATTCCTAGAGATAGAATCAGGGCCAATGCTATCTAGGTAAAATAGTATGTGCGTTTTAATGTTTGATTAATAGGAGTGTTTAATTGTACTCTGGAGAGTTTGATCACTATAATTAGAAACTAATTTGGGGTATAAAAACTAGATTATCTAAAACAATGAAACAATTATGGCTCATAAAAATTAATACATGTTTGGTTTTACCGCAAGTCTTTTGAATTTCTCATTCTTTGGGTAAAAGGACTCTAGCTCAGTGACATTTCTTGTAATTATAACTATGACTCAGGCGTTCCCTCCATTAAATAACTCAGCTTTCTCAGTAAACCTATAAGCAGAATTCTACTCCACATGTATGCTGGTTGAGTTTCCCCTGAACATTAGTTACCCATTTTGTGGAGCATGGATTCAAGGAAAATAAGGTACAGTATACCTGTTACTATGCACAGATATGCGCTGTATTTGGAAGAGTGATGGATCCTATTTGACTGTTTCTCGCTCTCAGCTGTTAAGCTGATAAGCTTGGTAGAAATATCAATTCTCAGGTCCACATCTAAAAATTATGATGTGAATGGATTTAAACAGACATTGCTTGTCATTTGAATAAAGGTGGATTGCATTTGGGAAATAACTTGGCTACTGATTAAGAACATAGTCTGCAGTTATATCAAAGTCTAGTTTTGGAACTCTGTTGTACCATTTGCTGTGTGATATTGGCCAAGTTGCTTACCGTCTCTGAGCCCCAGCCCCAGTTTACTCTTCTGCCAATAAGCTATACTATCTCCTTGTGAGGGTCAAATATTCACTGAATAAAAAGCACTTAGCTTAGCCCTGACCTATATGGCTCAGTTGGGTGGGCATCAGGCCACAAAATAAAAGGTCACTGGTTTGATTCCTGGTCAGGGCACATGTCTGGGATGTGGGTTCTGTTCCCAGCTGGGGGCATACAAGAGGCAACCAATCGGTGTTTTTCTCACACATTGATGTTTCTCTGCCTCTCTCTCTCTTTTCCTTGCCCTCTCTCTAAAAATAAATAAATAAAATCTTTTTAAAAAAGCACTCAGCCTGGAGTAAGTCTCAACTATGTTAGTAATTGTTATTAAGAAAGCTTGATTGGTCATAAATGTGTACTACGAATACCCTTCTTGATGGTATCCATTCGAGTGGTGAATTTTCTTAAAGCAGGTACAGTATGATTCAATTTATAAAATATTTTCATATGTTCAAATAATTTTTATATGTTTTAAATAATTTCAGTGTCCCGGAAATGTGGTTCCACTGTAAAGCAGAGTGTCTCTGTGGTAGCCCCCTTTCCCTCTCTCCCAATTTCCCTCCATTTCACCTCTTCCTATCCTTTGCCTATTATTTCTTTCAACCAGTGATTCTGATTTGCCAGATAAACCAAACCAAACTCAAAGCCAACTTACTTTCTAAAAGAGCATTTTTATTACGTCTCTGGGCTGAACATAGCAATGAACAGAAACATTTCATACACGTTTGACAGTCTGGCAGCTTTAACAGCACCTCCGCCCAGAACAAACTGAGGATAGTGGTGCGATTGTCATCGATCATAGTGCAAGTAAAGGGGGATGGGAGGGTGGTGAAGAAGGTGTCCTGAGGTCTCTTGGAGAAAACAGTTGCAAACACAACATGACATTCAAAATAAATTAGAAAAATTAAATAGTATAAATAAGTTGTAATTTAAGTTAGGAAGAGTCCCAGAGTGTGGGTGTTGGGTAACAACCAGCCCACAGAAGAGGTAGCTGTGGAGGTAATGAGTGTTTCCAAGGCTCGGGCCCCTGCTTCCCGTTGGCCCACCAAGGTCACTGGGTTCCTCAAAGCTTCCAGGCCGCTCAGCTGTTCATCTCCAGGTCGTTGATGTATTCTGGGACCCAGGCCTCACTCGGGTTGGCGCAGACCTCCCGGCCTTTTCTGGTTAGGAAGCTGTGGAGAGGAGGGGAAGGAAGGGTTACACACTGAGTAACCCAGCAGCAGAGCTCTGGGCCCACCGTGGCCCCTGCTCCCCGCGCTCTGCCCTGGCAGCTCGGGGCCTGCTCAGTCTCTCAGGGACCCTCTGCTGACCTCAGGCCAGGGAGCCCCTCCGAGGATTCTGCTGCTGCCTCCTCCTTCCCCTCCCTTCCCTCTGGGCCGCGCCAGCCCCCCACCCTGACTCTGTTAGCTCCCCAGCCAGGTCAGGCCACGCCTCAGAGGCTTGGGTTCTGCATAACTGATAGAACGTCCTGGGGGAGGGGGCCTTCTCAGGATGGCGCCCCTGGCCTGTCTGTCCCCTTGGGCACTGCCCCCACTCCACGCCCTCTCCATCCCCCAGGGATGGGCAGGAAGACTGGCACTTACATGACACCGGGATTGGAGCACTGGCTGCTGGTCTCATAGTAGTTGACTACGAATTTACGTGGAATTGGCTTGGAGACATAGGAGAAGCAGCAGGCGGTCGGGGTGTCAGCACCAACTGGAGAAGAAGGGACAGAATGAGCCTGAGTCAGAGTTCAGAAGAAAAGGCGCGATCTGAGGTCCCTTCCCTGAGAAGGTGAGGAAGACACAGAGCAAGACAGCCTTGCTCAGGGCGTGGGCTGGGAGAGAGACACGGTCACTAGGAGGCACTGGGCACTTTTGCCTAGAAAGTTCCCTGTCCCTGTTTCTGTCTGTATCTTTCTTTCTGTTTGAGTCGCCAGTGTATCCCTGGGATCCAGACATCCAGGCAGACGGTCCTCTTATCTCTTTTCCCTTCAAGAAATTTTGTCTGATCCAAGAAGCCAAAACCCAGCAAAAGAGAAATCTCAGACGTATGTCCTAAGACATCCAAGGAACAGAGCTCCTGGGGGTGCCTAGAAGGAGTTGGTGGAAGAATGACAAACTTCCACCAAGAATTTTAAAACATATAAAAATTATTTGAATATATAAAAATATTTTATAAATTGAATCATACTCTACCTGCTTTAAGAAAATTCACCACTCGAATGGATACCATCAAGAAGGGTATTCGTAGTACACATTTATGACCGATCAAGCTTTCTTAATAACAATTACTAACATAGTTGAGACTTACTCTAGGCTGAGTGCTTTTTTAAAAAGATTTGCTTAGGTCCCTGTTTTGCCACCTGTAAAATGGGACTGTTACTTCCCTCCCCTACCCTGGCTCTCAGATTCAGGGACTAGGCTAGCTAACACCCCTTGTAAGATAAAAATACAAGTCTTGCAGGGGGGAAAAAAAAAGAAAGAAAAGATGCTTTATAACCCTTTAGGGAGTTCTCTATCTTTCTCAGGGGCTCTCAAGACCACAAGACAAGATGACTGTGGTCTGACTGTGACCGGAGAGTAGACACTCACAGCGACAACACAGACTCACCCGGTGCAGAGAAGACCGGGCTGCAGAGGGCCATGGTGCAGAGAAGGACGGCAAGGGCAGCCCCGGAGACCTTCATGATGCCGAGTGGATGGCGTGTGAGCTTGAGTGTCAGGAGTGCAGGGATGGGAGTGGGCACTCGTTGCTGGCTGCGTCCTTCTGCTGTGCAGAGCCATCGCCCCTGCTCTTTATAGGCACCCTGGCGGATGGGGAAATGGAATCCGGGGGTGAGGAGGGAAATTTTTAAGCATAGTGATGTCAGGCTGAGGATTGCACAACTCAGGGTCCCGGGTGACCACAGTTGCTCAGGATATCCAAGAATAGCTTCTCTGACCTGTAAGTGTGAGCCCATAACTCATGACTTGTTCTGGTTTCTTGTGATGAAATGGTTTCCCCCAAGAGCAAGAGGAGATAGGAGTGTGTCTTGACTCAGGGCTATTCTCAGGGTCGGTCCCTTTCCATGAATAGAAACTCATCTATTCATGGACTCTCCAGCTCTGTCCTTCCCACACAATGGAAACACCTGTGCTTCCTCAGGTGTTCTAACCACTCGGATGGGGTAGATGTGATGATATTGTGGAGGGTGGCACACCCTCCCTTGGATGAAGAAACTGAATTAAGGAATCCCCGCTGGAGGACTGGAAGTGTGAGGTTATGATCCTGGCACTTCTCCATTCATCTAACAGTCACTGAATGACTAGGGTCATTGAGTTAAACAGTAGCTGAGAGTCATAAACGAACATTAGACGTGGGTGTTAATGTGTCAGGAGCCTAAAAATATATTTGTACTTGTCAACTTAAAGAACATGTTTCTAGGAAAGAGTTCTAAAGAAACAAATCCAAATATGGAAGCATCGTCAAACATGAAGACATATCTGACCCAGCATCATTTGTAGTTCTAAAATAAGAAAACCTAAATTTCCCTCTATCAGGAATGATAAATTATGGTATTGCCGCCGACTTGTTTATCATTAAACCCTTAAGCTGAATGGAGTATGGCAGAATAAGTATAAAAAAAAAAGATGAAAATTGTACAAATTGCATAAGATGGACCGTACCAATTTATATACACATATATGACAAATATTGTAACCATATATTATATGCATATATATAATTTATATGTGTGTGTACACACACACACACACAATGAATGCTATGTATAAACAAAATAAAAAGCATTGGAAATAAATGTCCCAATGCAACAACAGTACTTACATATGTGTGAAAGATCTGCGGGTGATTTTCTTGTTTTTCTCTTGTCCTGGAGTTTTCTAACTTTTTACCTTCCTAGTCAGCTCACAAATTTACAAACACATTTTGTTTTAAAACAACAACATTGGTTGGAAAATAGGTTACTGTCAATTGTTTGATTTTAATTTGAAAGAAATTTTTGAGAAATATACCAAAGTTTCTGTCCAATGGCCTTTGCTAAAATGAAGTTTTGATTTCCATTTCTCTGAACTATTTTAAAGAACCTATATGACATTTACATAAATAATGCCAAATTCAAAGCAATTTTCTTATTTTTAATTTATAATTTCAGTAGTATGAAAGGGCCTACTTTCTCAGTCAAGTCTGTATGTTTTTTTCTTCTCCATTCTTTATTATTTTATAGTTACATAATTAGTAAGCATATATCACATTATATAATGAGAAATAGATTTAGTTCTTTTTAATGGTCTTTTTCTCTAGATGCCCATGGTCTAGTGGGGGCAGGTAGAGTATATACAGGGTGGGGAAAAAGTAGGTTTATAGTTGTTCGTATGGAGTATAATGCAATAATTGATAAACAACAATACAAGAATAAACTGTTTCACATATATGTGAATAAATATATATATTTAAATATATATAAATATATATGTTTATATATATCAGAGAGAGGGGAAGGAAGGGAGAAAGAGAGGGAGAGAAACCTCCATCTAGAGCCTAACTGGGGACTGAATCCACAACCCAGGCATGTGCCCTGACTGGGAATCCAACTGTCAACCTTTCACTTTGCAGGACGATGCCCAGCCAACTAAGCCACATCGGTCAGGATGATTTCACTGAGGCTTTTGCATCTAGGCATCTTCCCTTGTTACTGTCAGTTCCAAAAATGGCATCTATTACTTGCTTCATTGGAAACTCTAGATCATGGGTAATGCCTCCTCCTCACCCCACTTCCTCTGCCCTAGTCCTCAAGTGATACTCTGAATTGTATTTTCTTAATTATTTCTTGGGAGGAATTACCTTCATACTTGTGATTCAGTTTCTGAGGGCTGGCTTCGATGAATTGGGGAGGGTGAGAAGAAGGAAGTGGAAACTGCTGAGTCAACCACTTTCTGTTAATGGACCTTCTTATCGACCTCCATGATTACAGCACTTACCACATTGTGTTATAACGCATTATTTATGCAATTTTCTCTTCAAAAAATTTAGACCATGTCCTGTTGACTTGAAACAAAATTTATACCATGTCTCACTGGTGGATTTAAATCAAATCCCAGCATATGATGATTGTAGCATGAGTTTTCTTTTTTTATTATATTTTATTGACTGTACTATTACTGTTGTCCTGATGTTTCCCCATTTGCCCCCTCTACCCAGCACCCCCCACTCCCTCAGGCAATCTTCCCACCTTTGTTCATGTCCATGGGTCACACATATAAGTTCTCTCTCTGCTCACCTTCTCATTGTTCCCAAGCCCTGGCCCTGCTGGATTGGTTTCCTTTCTGTTTCTGGCCCCAGGGGTCAATCTCAGCTCTCTCGCTTCGACACCAGTGGCTCCATGGATGGGTTACGATGCCTCTGTTTGGTCCAGCCTCAACCTCCTTCTTTCAGGTGTTGCCCAGAGTCAGGTTGCAGCAGGCTTGGCTCCACCTTTCGTGTAGGTAGAAACAATAGACTGGAGCCCCTTCCAGCCTCCCAGAGAGACAATGTCTCCATGCAGGCCCTTCTCCCTGCTTTTCTGTCTTGAGTTCTTGTCACGCTCCGCTGTACTCATATGTGTACAGTAGATCAAGGCATACATCTGGGCATCAGATGAGATCCTTCCCCCGTCCCTCTGCTCCTCTTTCTGTATTCTCTACCCAGTAAAAGGCTTCCCCTCCTACCCAGCTTCTAAGCCGGTAACTTGAGAATCACCCGTGGCTCATTCTTCCCCTTCACCGCCTTTTTCTACAGTAGTCCCTCTTTATCTGAGGTTTCACTTTCTTTGGTTTCAGTTACAGGTGGTCAACTGTGGTCCAAAATATTAAATGGAAAATTCAGATATAAACAATTCATGTGCTGTCCTGCTCCATCCCATTGGGGACATGAATCATGTCTTGGTCCAGTGTACTCACGCTCTATACCCTACCTGCCAGTTGGTCACTTAGCATCCATCTCAGTTATCAGATCAACTGTTGGTATCACAGTGCTTGTGTTAAAGGAACACTTATTTTGCTTAATAATGGCCCCAAATCACAAAGCTGGCAATTGGGATATGCCAGAGAGAAGCTGCAAAGAGCTTACTTTAAGTGAAAACATGTGCATGTAGAATAGGAAAGAACATAGTATATGTAGGGCTCAGTAGTGTCTGAGGTTTTGGCATCCACTGGGAGTCTTGGAACATATCCCTCACAGATAAGGGGGAATAATGTATTCAATCACCGACTCTACTGTATTTTGAAATGAAGTGTATCTGCTGCTCATCATTCCCACTGCCGCTGCCTGAGGGCAGGACCTCACCATTTCTTACCACAACAACTAGCTGTAAAAGTGCCCTACCAACCGGTTCTTCTTCCAGTTTGCCTCTCTCAAATACGTCTCATCATCACACAGCATCCAAACTGGTTTTGGTAAAGCGCCTATTGGTCTCTGTCCCTTTCTGCTGAAAATCCTTCAAATACTTGGCATTGTTTTCAGCACGAAATGGAAGCCTCTCCTCTGTGACCAGACCTCTGCCTCCCTCTTTGGCCACATCTCTTGCTACCTCCAAACTTCCTGGAAGCCAAGTCTCAGCCCCCTGATTCCATGTAGTTCCTTAAAAGTGCAGGTCTCTTTTATGCTTTTTAAGAATGAGGTGTCAACTCAACCAGGCACAGTTTCCCCTTCTTGTAAATCACAGGGCAGAGTGATAGAGCCTAAGCATGGGTACATCCCACAACAGCTGCAGAGGTTAATGTTTAGAACAAACAAGGAAACCACTATTTAATTCTCTTAATTTTCTAAGGAAAAGAGAGAAACCCTTGGATTCCAGTTAAAGACCTGAATTATGGGCCCTGGCTACTGGGACTCAGTGGGTTGGGCATCCTCCCGCAAAGTGAAAGGTCTCTGGTTCAATTCCTGGTCAGGGCACCTGCCTGGGTCGTGGGTTCGGTCCTGACAGGGATGTGTGTGAGAGGCAACCAATCGATGCTTCTCTCCTTCTTTTTTTCCTCCTTTCCTCTCTAAAAACAAATAAGTCAAATCTTTCTTAAAAAGACATGCAATATATAAAACTGAAAGATGCTTTACAGTATAATTAGAATAGGCTGTTATGTGTTTAACATAAATTTATGACAAACACATGTTCCTTTTCTGATTTACTTATACTCTGGAGCCAGACCTCTGAGGTGCCATTTCCAAATCTATGATGATTAGCTGTGTCCTTTTCCATAAGTTACTTACCTGTAGGTTTCTTACCTCTCTCTCTCTGATTCAGTTGCCTAATGTGGCAGGGGATAACACTAGCAGGATTAAACACATTGGCATCTATAAAAGAATTAGAGCATCACTGGCTCATAGTAAGTGCTATGTGCTAGTTACTATTACCATTATTACTGAATATTTCAATTAACCTATTTTATACATGTTAAAAAGTGCAGGCCTATTGTTCTTTGCCTGAATAACCCCACCCCCACACTCTGTTTATGGCTAATCATCCTTCAAGTCTCAGCTCAATTTATAACAGGGAAAAGCCAGAACAACCTGAATGGACCAACCTAAGTAATAATGGTTAAATATAAATTTTGGTATATCCATGCAATGAAATATCATGTATGCTAATTTTAAAAAACTCTTGAGTTTTTAATGACAGGGAAGAATATAAAGTAACAATAATAGGATATACTAGTTCAAGAAAGCCAATTAAGTAACAATACT